ATGTAATTTACACGAGAGCCTTTGGTGAGGGACCTTGTCAAAGGCTTTCTGAAAATTTAAGTATACTATATCTACTGGATCCCCCTTGTCCGCATGTTTGTTAACCCCTTCAAAGAACTCTAATAGATTAGTAAGACAGGATTTCCCTTTACAGAAACCATGTTGACTTTTGTCCAACATGCCTCTTCTACATGCCTCACAATTTTATTCTTTACTGTTGTTTTGACTAATTTGCCTGGTGCTGAACTTAGACTTACCGCTCTGTAATTGCCAGGATCGCCTCTCAAGCCCTTTTTAAATATTGGTGTCACCAGCCAAACTACAGATAATAGCTCAGCAATTTTCCATTTGAGTTCTTTTAGAACCCTTGGATGAATGCCATCCGGTCCCGGAGATTTGTTAACATTAAGTTTTTCTATTTGTTCCAAAACCTCCTCTAATGACACTTCAATCCGGGACAGTTCCTCAGATTCATCACTCACAAAGGACGGTGCAGATTTGGGAATCTCCCTAACATCCTCAGCCGTGAAGACTGAAGCAAAGAAATCATTTAGTTTCTCCGCAATGGCTTTATCGTCCTTGATTGCTCCTTTATATCTCGATCATCTAGGGGACCCACAGGTTTTTTAGCAGGCTTCCTGCTTCTAAGGTACTTAAAAAACATTTTGCTATTGCTTTTTGAGTTTTTGGCTAGCTGTTCCTCAAAATCTTTTTTTGCTTTTCTTATTACATTTTTACACTTGATTTGACAGTGTTTATGTTCCTTTCTATTTATCTCACTAGGATTGGACTTCCACTTCTTAAAAGATACCTTTTTGTCCCTCACTGCTTCTTTTCCATAGGAGAGTCCCAGCAATGCCCCTCCCAGCGGGAAGGCAGGCCAGAGGGGAAGGGAGGCAGGAGGTGGGTTTCTTGACCCCATCTGACCTGAATCCCAGAGTTAAAGAGGCATCTTCTCTCCAGCCCTTCCTGGTGGGAAGCATCAGCCATCCACTTCCTCCCCCCTGTGCTGGGAATCTGGCCACATGCTTTGCATAAAGCAATGGGAGACCCCCGCCCCCTTCCCTGCACAGGCAGCCTCAGCTCCTTGTGCCCTGCCTCCCAGCTGACAGCATTCGGCCCCTCTGTTCTCTGCCCTTCTTGGCGGTCAGAGCGTATTCCAGCCTTTCCCTGCACAATGCTGCCAGTCGGTCCATTAGCTGCATGTTTCCAAACTGAGTCACCCTCTATTATGGTCATAGATTTGCTAAGGCCAGAAGGGACCACTGTGATTACCCATCCAGAAACGCTCACCTGGGGAAGCCCGAGTCGAGCGCCCAGCTTTGATGGACCAGAGAGTGTTCCTTCGGAAGAGACGCCTGGTTCTGATGGTCCCTTCTGGCCTTAACACCTACGACTCTCCGAGTTTGGATGTAAGTGTGGCAAGCGATGGAGGATGCGCCGTGTTCCTGGGTAACCCTCCCCCTCCCTGCCTTGTGAAAAATGTACAACTTCCTTCTAGTCTGGAATTGTCTGGCTTCATTCCCCAGGCCTTGAACCTCAGGCTGCTTTTTTTCCCCTGCTAGATTAAATTTTCTCTCCGTGTTTCTAATTTCTCCAGGACCTTCTGGATTCTCTCTGCCCTCACTGGTTTTGCTATAACTCCCAATTGAGTATTATTTGTGCATTTAATTACCATGCTGATCACCCCCTGCATCCGGCAGAGCCCAGCCCGCCTGCTCTGAGCTGAGCATGCAGGATTAATCTCTGTGACTAATGTGCTGGACTCTGCAGGACCGATTTGCTGGGGGAGGCGTTTCTTTCATTGCCATGCAAGTGGGAGCATTCTGGCAGAGGTGTGGGAGCCGACAACTGAGAGCTAATGACGGTCACCTCTCCTTGCGAAAAGGACTCGCTGGGAGTTTTGTGGGGTGCCCCCAGCAACGGGCAGGGAGTGGGCTGTGTGAAGCCAACCCCCGGGAAGCGGCGGGGTCAGGAGGACATCGGTCGTGACTCACCAGCAGAGCTGTTTGCAGGGTGGAGGAGCTGGTGGGCCCCAAGATAGAGAGAAAAGGTGGGGAGGGGAAGTCTGATGGGCTCAAGTCCTGTGGGCAGAAGGACGAGCTGCAGGGTTCCACCAAGCTCCTCAGGTCACCTCAGTCCCCTTCATGTCCCGGCTCAGGACAGCTCCTGCCTCTTCCTGCCCACCGAGGAGGACCCTGGACTGTGCTTTTTCCCAGCCTGTCACTGCCACCAGGAAGGGGCAGAAAGTCTCTAAGGAGGAGGGGGGGGCACCAGCTCCTGGACTGTGGCCCCAAGGCCTGGCTCTGTGCATCCTTCCCACGCCTCAGCACATGCCCCACCCCATCCCCCCCCAGTTCCTGCCCCTACCTTGCTCCTTCCCTCCCCTGCAGCTTGCCCTCACAGCCAGTAAGTGTGGGGAGGGCATGTCCCCTGGCCCCCACCTGTTCCTCTGCCCCTG